TTCATCACCTCATCACCTTAGGGTTTAGCTCGCTTGATATTGAGGTAGATCTACTCTGTAAGCATACCATACATCAAATACAATCAAGCAGGACGTAGGGTTTTACCTCTTCGAGAGGGCCTGAACCTGGGTAAATAACGTGTTCATCGTCCCTTGTTCCCCATCAATCCTAGATCCACAGACGGGACCCCCTATACGAGATCCGCCGGTTTTTACACCGACATTGGTGCTTTCATTGAGAGTTCCATTGCGGATCGCCGAAGGATCAATGGCTGAGCTATTCATGAGAAACCCCACTAGCGTCAGGGACATCTTTGTTCCCGACCTATTTTTTATGTTCGGTAGTATCACTTTCTGCGCTAACCTCATCGGACGCTTAAACCTAGTTGAAAACCTCACCGCCGATCGCAAAATTAGCCACCGAAACCTAGATTTTGGAGTATGCCCTCGGCGAAACCCTGCTTCTGAAGAGCTCGATGCCTTGACCTCAAATTCAGCGGATGTAAAGGGACGCAAAGCCGGATCCCATCGAAGTATCCGAAGAACGTCCCGCCAAACACTCAAGAGGCATGCCCCCGGCAGGAACCTCTCCGGTAGACAACCTTTTGGATTGATTCTTGGCTATGGGAACCTCCATCAGCAGGCCTACGGCCTATGACCAGAATGGGCTTAATCTCGACAACAGAGAGATCCACACCCCGCCCATTGATACGTCTCCATTGTATCAACTTCTCCAAACTCTTTTTCCCTTGTTTTGGACTCTAATTTGCATGATTTGAATGGAACTAACCCGGACTAACGCTGTTTTCAATAGAATTGCCATGGTGTTATTTTTGTGCAGAAATAAAAGTTCTCAAAATGACCTAAAACTTCATGGAGATTATTTTTGGAACAAATAAAAAATACTGGCGAAAGAATCAACCAGAGGGTACCCACATCCTGTCCACAAGGGTGGAGGGCGCGCCCCCCCTCTAGGGCGCACCCTCTGGTCTTGTGGGGCCCATGAAGCTCCACCGACCTTAACTCCAACTCCATATATCCATGTTCGAGGAGAAAAAAATAGAAGAGAGAATTCATCGCGTTTTACGATACAGAGCCACCGCCGCCATTGTTCTTCCTCGGGAGGGCAGATCTGGAGTCCGTTCGGGGCTCCGGAGGGGGGAAATTGTCGCCGTCGTCATCATCAACCATCCTCCGTCATCAATTTCATGATGCTCACCGCCATGCGTGAGTAATCCATCATAGGCTTGCTGGACGGTGATGGGTTCGATGAGATTTACCATGTAATCGAGTTAGTTTTGTTAGGGTTTGATCCCTAGTATCCATTATGTTCTAAGGTTGATGTTGCTATGACTTTGCTATACTTAATGCTTGTCACTAGGGCCCGAGTGCCATGATTTCAGATCTGAACCTATTATTTTTTCATGAATATATTTGTGTTCTTGATCCTATCTTGCAAGTTATAGTCACCTACTACGTGTTATGATCCGGCAACCCCGGATTGACAATAGTCGGGACACTTCCCGGTGATGACCGTAGTTTGAGAAGTTCATGTATTCACTAAGTGCTAATGCTTTGGTCCAGTTCTCTATTAAAAGGAGGCCTTGATATCCCTTAGTTTCAAGTACGACCCCGCCGCCACGGGAGGGTAGGAGAAAAGATGTCATGCAAGTTCTTTTCCATAAGCATGTATGGCTATATTCGGAATACATGCCTACATTATATTGATGAATTGGATCTAGTTCTGTGTCACCCTATGTTATAACTATTGCATGGTGAATGCCATCTGACATAATTATCCATCACTGAACCATTGCCTACGAGCTCGTTTCGTATTGATCTTTGCTTAGTTACTTTTCCGTTGCCAATGTTACGATTGCTACAAAACTGCTACTGTTACTTTTGCCACTGTTACTGTTACTTCCATATTACTTTGCTACTAAATACCTTGTTGTAGATATTAAGTCTTTCAAGTGTGGTTGAATTGACAACTCAGCTGCTAATACTTGATTATATTATTTGGCTCCCCTTGTGTCGAATCAATAAATTTGGGTTGAATACTCTACCCTCAAAAATTGCTGCGATCCCCTATACTTGTGGGTTATCAAGACCTTTTTGTGGCGTCGTTGCCGGGGAGCATAGCTAGATTCTCTATGTCACTTGGGATTTATATCTGTTGATCACTATGAAGAATTTAAAAGATACTAGAACCAAGATTTTCCCCTCAACTACGAGGGGAGGTAAGGAACTGCCATCTAGCTCTGCACTTGATTCACCTTCTGTTTTGAGTAAACTTGTGATGCCTACACCTGCTATTGATTCTAATATGTCGGATATTATTGATGATGCCACTTCTGCTATGCATGATTCATATGATGATACTACTTCTTTGCTTGATAATACTGTGCCACTAGGTGAATTTCTTGATGAACAACTTGCTAGGGTTAGAGAGAATGAAATTACCGAAACTGATGATATTATTGAAACTGAAGATTATGATTCTCCCCCTAAATACGAATTTTCTGTTGTACTTGAGGGTTATATTATGGATGAGGAAACTTCTAGAGACTTTCTTGCTTGCAATGATAGAGATGATCTTAAGAAACTATTAGCTAAGTTGAAAGAAAAGTCTTTGAATGCTATAATGCAATATGATCCTAAGTTTGCTACTTCACCTATCTTTGTTACTGATAAGGATTATGAATTCTATGTTGATCCTGAGTTAATTACTTTGGTTGAATCTGATCCTTTTTATGGTTATGAATCTCAAACTGTTGTGGCACATCTTACTAAATTGAATGATATAACCACCCTATTTGCTCATGAGGAAAAAATTCGCTATTACTATATTCTTAAGTTGTTTCCTTTCTCATTAAAGGGTTACTCTAAGATACGGTTTAATTCTCTTGCTCCTGGTTGTGTGCATAATCTCCAGGATATGATTTACTACTTCTCTGCAAAATATTTCCTTGCTCATAAGAAACAAGCTGCCTTAAGGGAAATATTTAATTTGTGCAAATTGAAGAAGAGGGTCTTCACAAGCTTGGGGGAGGCTTCTTCAATTACTTAATGCTTTACCTGATCATCCTCTCAAGAAAAATGAAATACTTGATATCTTTTATAATGGACTAACTGATGCTTCTAGGGACCACCTAGATAGTTGTGTTGGTTGTGTTTTCAGGGAACAAATTGTTGAGTAGGCTGAACTACTATTGAATAATATATTCAGTAATGATAATGATTGGACACTTCTTGAACCAACTCCTAAGCCAACTCTAAAGAAAAGAGGTATTCTATTTCTCAGTCCTGAAGATATGCAAGAGGCAAAGAAATCTATGAAAGAAAAAGGTATTAAAACTTAAGATATTAAGAATTTACCGCCTATTGAAGAAATACATGGTCTTGATAACCTGACACAGGTAGTGGAGGTAAATTCTCTCTATAGATTTGATGAAGGTGATATTCCTCATAATAAGTCTACTAGTTAATGCTTGGATGAGTTTGATAATTTATTGTTAAACAAGAGAACTTCAATGCTTATGTTAGTAGACAATTGAAACGTAATTCTTACATGCTTGACCACTTGGGTGATTATATGAGTAGAACTGTTAATGATCTTAAGCTTATTAGTAAACATGCTTCCATGATTACAACTCAAGTAGAACAAGTACGTAAGGCACAAGATGATTTGCTCAATGAGTTAAATAATAAGAACAATGATAATGTTGTTAGGGTTATGACTAGAGGTGGTAAACTGGCCCAGGAACCTTTGTATCCCGACGGCCATCCTAAGAGAGTTGAGCAAGATTCTCAGAGAATTAATACTGATGCACCTAGTCTTAGTAATAAAAAAAGGAAAGAACACTGATAGGACTCTGCATGCTTCTAGTGAACCTGTTATAGACACACCTGAGAATCCCAATGATATTTCTGTTTTTGATGCTGAGACACAATCTGGTGATGAACATGAACCTAGTGATAATGTTATTGATGATGTTCATATTGATGCTCAACCTAGTAATGATAATGATGTAGAGATTGAACCTGTTGTTGATCTTGGTAACCCACAATCAAAGAATCAATGTTATGATAAGAGAGACTTCGTTGCTAGGAAGCATGGTAAATAAAGAGAACCATGGGTTCAGAAACCCATGCCTTTTCCTCCTAAGCCATCCAAGAAAAAGGATGATGAGGATTTTGAGCGCTTTTGGGAAATGATTAGACCTATCTTTTTGCGTATGCATGTGACTGATATGTTGAAAATGTCTCCTTATGCTAAATATATGAAAGATATTGTTACTAATAAAAGAAACATACCAGAAGCTGAAATTTCTACCATGCTTGCTAATTATACTTTTAAGGGTGGAATACCAAAGAAACTTGGAGATCGAGGAATACCTACTATACCATGCTCCATTAAAAGAAACTTTGTTAAAACTATTTTATGCGATCTTGGGGCCGGTGTTAGTGTTATGCATTTCGCATTATATCATAGACTTGGTTTGAATAAGTTGACACCTACTGAAATCTCTTTACAAATGGCTGATAAATCAACTACTATACCCATCGGTATTTGTGATAATGTGCTTGTTGTGGTTGAAAACGTTACTATCTTAACGGACTTTGTTATTCTTGATATTCCCGAGGACGACAATATGTCGATCATCCTGGGTAGACCCTTTTTGAATACTGCAGGGGCTGTTATTGATTGCAACAAAGGCAATGTCACTTTCATGTTAATGGTAATGAGCATACAGTACACTTTCCGAAGAAGCAACCTCAAGTTCATAGTATCAATTCTATTGAAAAAAATTCAACTATTACTATTGGAGGTTTTGAATTCCCTCTTCCTACTATAAAAAATAAATATGATATTCTTATTGTTGGGGACATGCATATCCACGTTGAGGTAACGTAGTGTTATTCGAAAATTCTCTGGTTTTATGTTATTTGAAAGAAGTTTGTTAATAAGACTTTTGATTGGATGCACTTACTAATTCATGATCTGGCATGTACAGAATGAAAACTTCATTCTCGATTCTACGAGAATTTTTATGAAAGCATTTCATTTGCTTCTCTTCAATGGAAGTTTCATTTTTCCAAAATATATCCTAATTTTTGCCCTAATTCTTCTTTTGATGATCGATTCAACCTCTGATAAAAAATATAGACCTTGGTTATATTTCATCTCTTCAACAAGTTTAGTAATAAGCATAACGGCCCTATTGTTCCGATGGAGAGAAGACCTTGTTAACTGATTCCTTTTGATGAGCATGAGATGGATGAATTTAGGAATCACAACTCTCTGTACCCACCTTTTACTTTTGGTTATTTAGATTAAATAAAGCAAAAATAGTATTTTCTGTCTATTTTCTGAATTGTCCATGCAATAAAAAAATGTCCCAAAAATGAAAGTTCTCCAAATGTCCTAAAAATTTAGTATGATTTTTTTATAAAATATTTGAGAATTTCTGGCACTGAGAACACACCAAGGGCACCACCAGTGAGCCACAAGGATGGAGGGCGCGCCCTATCCCCCTTGTCTTGTGGGTCCCATGTGGGTCCCCTCCACTTATTCTAGCACCCATCCAGTTCGTCTTCGTCCAGAAAAAATCACCTCGTAGCTTAAACCCGTGTTCTTGCTCATTTTGTTGCCATTTTCGATCTCCTTGTGCAAAGCTCCATTCACAAAACTATTTTGGGGGATTGTTCTTCCATATGTGACTCCTCCAATGGTCCAATTAGTTTTTGTTCTAGTGCTTTATTTATTGCAAATTTTTGCTGCTGTGTGGCCCTGTTCTTGAGCTTGCATGTCAAATTTATATGGTCTAAAGTAGTTTTGATGCATGATATAGCCTCTAGGCACTTGTAGGAGTAGTTGCTATAATTTTTGTTGAGTTTAGTTCACTTTTATTTCGAGTCACTAAAAATTTCAGAATTTTTCAGAGGGAGAAAATGATGAGGCGATTGTTGAGAGGCTCCTCGAGCCGGGGTTCGAAGGAAAAAGAAAATGAAAAGAAGGGAAAACCCAAGTACAACCTTCCTCGCACCGCGGAGGTTCGGCCGTGTGAATGGCCAAGTGATGCATTCTTGGAGGCAACCGAAATTTATGAGGATTTCTATTACTTGGCTGAGAATGCAGGCATCACCAACTTCCTTTATGACCAGTGTGATCAGTACCTCCTACTCACTAATATTTTTGTGCAAAATTTTCATTTTCAAGCTAGTAGATCACCACCCGCGGTAGAATTTGATTTATATGATGAGCATAAGGAGATGAGGCTTTATGATTTTTGTGAGGTTTGCAAATTACCTTTTGAGGGAAGCATCGAGGAACCACGTCCTAGTGATGTGGAAGATTTTATTAATGAAGTTACTGTAGGGGAAAGGAGAAAGGTGTCGGAAGCAAGAGTGTCTAGTTTACATTTTCCTGTTCTGCGCTACTACTCATTATTTGCCGGTAGATGTTTAATTGGTCGCAGGGATAGTGGAGGCCTTAGTGCTCCTGACCTTGCTATTTTGTGTCATGCTTTACTTCGTGATAGAACTTCCAGTTTAGGCGCTATGGTTGCTAAACGGTTGAGTTTAAACCGTACGAAGGGTCCTATTTTCGGAGGTATCTTCGCCTCCTGCCTTGCTAGACGCTTCGAGATACCCATTAGGCACAACGAAAGAAGTTGCTACCCACTATATACTTAGATTATGAAAGCATGGTAGCACATAAGTTTATTGGCTATGATAAAGAAAAGAGATTCATTTATAACCTGGTATTTAGCGAGGATACTTTTCAGATTATTACCTTTCCTGCACCTACTTTGTTCGATATTCATTCAGGAAAGTACTTCGTTTTGCCCGCAGACATTCACACATACTAGGAGGGGACACGATCCCCAGATCTTGAGCCAGAGCCATCACCTGATCCTTATCAGGAGTCTATTTATTAATGGGGGCCATAGGAGCTCGCTAACCAGTGGAACCCCCAGGATCTTCCTCAATACACCGGAGGGGCTACTTTGATCCATGGGCTTTAGGCCAAAAGCCTAAGCTTGGGGGAGTACGTATTTCTCACCGACATTACATTCATGTTTACACACTCATTCTAGTTGTCCGTGTTCATACTTTTTCATTGTAATATCCATGCCAGTTTATTTTCTTTTGCTCGCTTTCTTCTTGTGTGTTTGAAAAACTTTGAGGAAAACCAAAAAAAAATTAGTTGTAGCTTCTAGCTAGTTTACTTTCCATGTTTGTGTAGTAGTACTATTAAAGAAAACCCAAAAAGATTTCTTTTTCTTCTTTTGTTTGTTGGGAGCTTTCCCGTGTAAATAGTTTTTCTCGTTCTTATTTTGCTTCCTTCAGAAACTAAAAAAACATTTTAGTGTGTTTCTTTGAAATTCTTTTCTTTGGGGGTCGAGACGAGAAGACCACGATGAAAATGTTGAGTGACTCTCATATGCATTATTGTTGATCTAACAAAGAACCCATATTACCTTGTCTTCTCCTTTTAATAAATGTTTGCATATTCCAGCTTAGTCCAATGCACATGCACTATTATTATTATCCACACCGTTCGGTCGTGCAAGTGAAAGGCAATAATGACGATATATGATGAAATGATTGAGATGAGGAAAAGTTGGTATGAACTTGACCTATCTTATTTTTGTAAATATGATTAATTCATTGTTCCTGATTCAGCCTATTATGAATCAAACATGTTTGCAATGAAAATTAGAGATTATAATTACTCATGCCATGCTTAATTAGCTAGGAGTTTATAATGGTTTACTGATACGTCTCCAACGTATCTATAATTGTTGATTGTTCCATGCTGTTATATTATCATTCTTGGATGTTTTACAATCATTTAAAGTCATTTTATATCACTTTTTGGTACTAACCTATTGACATAGTGCCAAGTGCCAGTTGCTGTTTTCTGCATGTTTTTACATCGCAGGAAATCAATATCAGAAGGAGTCCAAATGCCACGACGATTTACGATGATTTTTTATGGACCAAAAGGAAGAAGTTGGGCCCTGGTTGCACCTGGGGGGAGTCCTGAGGAGGGGACAACCCACCAGGGCGCACCGGGAGGCCCATGCGCGCCCTGGTGGGTTGTGCCCACCTCGGGTGCCTCCGGACCGCCTTTTTGCTCTATAAATGCTCTAATATTCCAGAAACCCTAGGGGAGTCGACGAAATATTGATCCAGCCGCCACAGAGTCCAGAACCACCAAGATCCAATCTAGACACCGTCATGGAGGGGGTTCATCACTTCCATTGGTGCCTCTCCTATGATGCGTGAGTAGTTCTTTGTAGACTTACGGATCCACAATGAGTAGCTAGATGGCTTCCTCTCTCTCTTGATTATCAATACAATGGTTTCTTGGAGATCCATATGATGTAAGTCTTTTTGTAGTGTGTTTGTTGGGATCCGACAAACTTTGAGTTTATAATCAGATCTATGTTTTTATCCATCAAAGTTATTTGAGTCTTCTTTGATCTCTTATATGCATGATTGCTTATAGCCTCATATTTCTTCTCTGATATTTGGGTTTTGTTTGGACAACTTGATCTATTTATCTTGCAATGGGAAGAGGTGCTTTGTAGTGGGTTCAATCTTACAGTGTTTGATCCCAGTGACAGAAAGGGAACCGACATGTATGTATCGTTGCTACTAAGGATAACAAGATGAGATCTATATCTGCCGTAATAGATAAAAGGATCGCATCTACATCATGTCATCGTTCTTATTGCATTACTCCGTTTTCTCATGGACTTAATACACTAGATGCACGCTGGATAGCGGTCGATGTGTGGAGTAATAGTAGTAGATGCAGGAAGGAGTCGGTCTACTAATCTTGGACGTGATGTCTATATAATGATCATTGCCTGGATATCGTCATGATTATTTGAAATTCTATCAATTGCCCAACAATAATTGTTTTCCCACTTTTTGCTATTTTTCTCGAGAGAAGCCACTAGTGAAACCTACGGCCCCCGGGTCTCTTTTCATCTTATTTGCCTTTGTGATCTATTTTCTTTTACGTTTATTTTCAGATCTATTAAACCAAAAATACAAAAATATCTTGCTGCAATTTATTTGTTCCGCGATCTATTTATCCAATCTACAACAGCTTCTCTCGCTGAAGTGTTTGACTAATTGGGCCGGCCCACTAATATGTAGAGAAATAGAAAAAGTAAAAGGAAATGAGCAATTTGGGATTCGAATGTGGGGTGTTTGGATCGTGCATAGAGCTGCTTACCACTACGCCACAGTTGGCTTCGTGTTACATATCACAGTCGCACACTACTTGAGGTAAAATACCATAGTTTTTTCTTATTTCTCTGCTTTTCTTTTCTTTCTTTGCTTTCTTTTTTTGTTTGGTTTTCCTATTTCTTTCTCCGGCTTCCTTTTTTCGTTAATATAATCCATTTTCTTTCCATTTTTTTTTCATTCTGCATTCTTTGTTTTCTCCATTTTTGTTTGGTTTTTATTTCATTTTTGTTTGGATTTTCTTTTTCTTTTTCATTTTTCTTTCTTTCGTGTTTTCTTATGTTTGTTTTCGTTTGCACTCTACATTTTTGTACATGTCAAAACATTTTTAAACAAGCGTCAGCATTTTTTGTATACACATTCAATATTTTCCGGATGCTTATTCAATATTTTTCAAATACTTCTTCACCATTTTAATAGTTATTCAACACTTTTAATACTTATTCAACATTTTTCAATTACTTGTTCAACATTTTTCATATACTCATTCAACACTTTTAAATACCTATTCAACATTTTCAAATACTTGTTCAATATATTTCTAATTCTTTGTTCAGCATTTCTAATACTTATTCAAAAAAAATTCAAATACATGTTTCACATTTTTTAATACTTATTCAACATTTTCCAAATGAGGTATGTGTGTGTGTGTAGAATATTTTTTAAATTATAAGTAAAAGTACAAAAATGAAGGGGGTTTGAACACACGACCTAAACCACGTCGCAAGCCACTGTGTACATCTACTTGCTTGTCTAAAAGTGCTAGCTCAGTTAATATAAACTATACATGGCAAAAGAAAATTACTTTTTTTTTTGAAATTTCAAACGCGGTTTACTTTTCACAAAAGTAAATATATTTAGAAAGCCGAACATTTTCAAAATTTGCTAACATACTTTTAAAGACTCGAACATTTTTTGCGAATTTGAAATATTTTGTTAAATGAGGAATAAAATTGAAAGCGACAACATTTCCGAAAGTGCGATTCGC